TTGCCCAGGGGGGCCCTCCTGGGGACAGGATTCTAGCGAGCTCCCCGGGTCACCCCCAGCCAGGGCACTTGGGACTCCCCTTGACAACAACCCAGGCAGGTTTCACCGTGAGCCTGGCATGGCAGCACGGGTACAAACTCTCTTATGTTGTCTTCACTAACAGACCACGCTGAGACAGACGAGAGGTTGCTGAGAGCACCATGCCCAAGCGGTGCCAGAGCCAGAATACCAGACAGGGTGGCTGCGCCAGCACTCGCTTGTCATCTCAGTCCTGGAGGCTGGCAGTGTGAGGTTTGGCTGCTCCGGAGGGAGCCCTCTCTCCTTGGCTTGCAGATGGGCCTTCCCCGTGTGTCCTGCTCACCCCTCATGGTGACCTCGTGTTACCTCAATCACCTCTTGAAAGGCTCCATCTCCAAATACAGTGACATTCTGGGGCGCTGGGGGAGGGGGGAGGGAGGGAGGGAAGGAAGGGGAAGAAACTGAGGTTTCTTCGTGGTCTGTCTTCCTCTGAAGATGGGCTGGAAGGAAGGAGACATACAGCCATTCTCAGACGGAGGGATGACGAGGAGATCGTGCTGCCAACCACACTTGTCTCTAAAGAGTGGCCAAAGGAAGTTCCCTAAGAGTAAGAAATTATGATGGAAAAGGTCTCCTGGAACCTTAGGAAGGAGCCAAGAGCATTGGCCTGGTAACACCAGGGGTAAGTCCATCAGACGATCCTTCTCATGAGGTTTCCAAATCATACTTGATGGTTGAGGCCAAAACTGTTAACAGTATGGGATGTGGTGCTTACTAGAGTTGTCTGCCTGTCTCTCTGTCTTTCTCTCTCTGCTCCCAGTTGCAAAAGACACCCCTTCTTTTGTTTCCCCATGCCCTAATGAGACTCCCTTCTCACGAAAGTGAAAAGTGTCCTGAGCCCGAGGCAGGGGCCACTCTTCTGTCCCCCTATAACTCCATGACCCATTTCTGGGTCCAGGGTGGTCTTACGCCCACAGTCCCCTTATACTTCTCTGTCTTTTGGATCATTTCTAGGTGGCATTTCCTAACCCAGAGGAGAAAAGCTCGCCAATCAACAAATGCAGGCATTTACTGAGACTTCTGTCCCCTCTGGGGAAGCACCCTGCTCCCAATCCCTGAGCTTCCCGGACTGATTCCTCCCAGTGTGGTGGGGGTGACTCAGGGCTGACCAGTCATTGTGTCCTGGCCCCTGGCTGCAGAGATCTGGAGATCCGGTGGGGAATCACCAGGGGACAGGAGGGTCGGGAGAGGGTCCCAGGATGCTTGTGGGAGCTGTGGGGGGTGGGGGTAAGAGAAGCTGCCGCTGCTGGGGACCATCTGTCCTTACCTTACGAGGGGAGAAGATACAAAAGTTGAAGGACACAGACACTGATGTGTTGAGCCGCCCCCACCCCAAGCACACCTGGCCTTTCAACAAGGTGAACCCCAAGGACAACAATCTAGAGGCAGCACGAGGATTCTCACTTGGCAGGTGCAGAAACAGTCCAAAGAAAGAGTTCTTTTGAGTTCTGCTTCTGGGATCTCACCACTGAACAGGCTTATTCAATCAAGCCCCTTCCTGCCCCTGGTACTTTCTCAGTAGTTGACCCCCACGTCTGTGGCATAGATCTAAAGCTAGTGCTGCCAGACAAAATACAGGATGCCCCCTTAAATTTGAATTTTGGATGAACAATGAATAATTTCTTAGCATAAGTAGGTCTCATATTGCATGGGACATACGTATACTAAAAAGTATGTTGCTTATCTGAAATGCAAATTTCACTGGGCAGGTGGGGCTTTTGTTTGCTTAAACTTAATAGCATTGTCTAAGGCGTGAAGGGAGATTCAGCAAAAAGGGGAAGGCCACCTTCCTAGGAGGAGCAGAGTTAGGTCAGGGGATTGGACGCAAGAAGCAGTCTTGAAGAATCATCCTCCTGTCTCCTGCCAGAGTGCCCACATCAGCCGTAAAGGTGGTCATCACAGCGTTTTGCCTGTCAGGTCAAGTGAAAACGTGACCTGGAGTGAAAATGTATTAACCATCAACAGTCTAGTGTGAATTAGTTTACAAAGATGTGCATTTAGGGCAGCCCCAGTGGCCCAGTAGTTTAGCGCCGTCTTCGGCCTGGGGTGTGATCCTGGAGACCCGGAATCGAGTCCCACATCGGGCTCCCTGCATGGAGCCTGCTTCTCCCTCTGCCTGTGTCTCTGCCTCTCTTTCTCTGTGTCTGTCATGAATAAATAAATAAATAAAATCTTTAAAAAAAAAAAACAAAAACAAAGATGTGCATTTACTCATTATTGTCAGCTATGCTGTGGGGAGGACACTCCATTCCTTTTTCCCTGAAGTGTTTGTCTCCATCGCACAAAAGATCAAATGTAAAATGGTTTTCCTGTGGCCAGTCAACCTGGGCTGCACATGTGAATCTTCGGGGAGCTTTACAAAATCGTAATATGCAGGCCACACAAACTCCAATTAAACCCAATCTCTGGGGATGTGCTCTAACCACTCTCTCATTCCCAAGGTGATTCCACTGTGCAACCGAATTTAAGAATCAGTAGAAATAATTGTTCTGGGCCAGTTCGAGTCCTGATGAGGGCTGCTGCTGTCTGGCAGCCCACTCTGTACCAGGCATCTCGCAGACAGATTCCATTTGGTTCTCCCAATAGTCCTGCAATGCACACCTTGTTCATCTCACGGTTCACATGAAGTTGCAGGCTCACAGGGGTGACTTGACGTACTCCAAGTGACACAGGTTAATAGGCCTGAGGATTTCTTGCCTGAACCCACAGTCCTTCCACCATGCTGCTTCCGGGCTCTGCAGCTTTGGATGGGTGCCTTCCCTGGGTGGTCCTGTACTCCGTCACCTGTAGAACAAGGGGTAGAGGATGCTGGTCAGCAGGGGTCACCCATTCTGCAGTGTCATGGGACAGAGGGGAGAGGCAGTCAAGAGTGAGGCGGCATCATGACAAGCAAGCGGTGGAGGGTCAACTCTGGAGGTCCTGGGCACGTCCTCAGTGTGCATGACAGCTTAGAGTGGGGTGTCCTTGCAGGGGACATGGGAGATGCCTCATGAAATAGCCTCGGTAGACTTTCACAATGGTCTTCAGCAGAGTAACTGACATAACTGCCCAGTAACTCCCAGGTGATGGGGTGAACTGGACCATTGTCCACACCAGGCACTGCGTGGCTGCTCCAGTCATTGCTGCTCTCTCCATCCTCATCCCATATTACAGATGAGGAAATCAAGGCTCGGAGAAGCCCATGATTTTCTCTAGAATGAACAGCCAATCGGGGTATTTTGCCTAAAGACATGCAGCAACTTCTTCCGCAATTTGTGGTTCTCATAATGAGGGGATGCTACTGGCATCTAGTGGATGGAGAGGCCAGGGTCACTGTTGATCATCCTAGCTCACTCAGAAACACCTGACCCCAGCAAAGAGCTACGTGGCCCCAAGTGTCAATATGCAGAGGGTGACACTACTAGCTGGGGTTTGGTTCCTACACCTGACACACCCATATGCTGTGGCTGAGGTAACCATGCGGAGTCCTAGTAGAGGTAGTAGAAGGAAGCCTGCACCCAGGTCCACACAGCTTCCACCACTGGGTAAACCGAATCTACTATTCGACCCACCAGAGCCTCAGCTTAGAGGGTAGTTGCAATGACTGTGAGCTTTGGCAGAAAGTATAGTTTTAAACGCAGCAAACACCCAAAGCCTCTCCTCTGAGCTCAGCGCCAAGATCTGTTTCCCTTCCCTCCCCTTCCCGCTCTCCCTCGAGGGCATCCAATTGGATAATGAAATGCAACTTTTGGTACAAATTGTGCTTTAATGTAGAAAACAAAAAACTCACGTACATCATAAATACAACTTGGGAGTATAAATAAAGTAAGAAAATAGAGAGATGTACATATCAAACAAAATAAATTACTCATAAATACCACGTTGTTGAACTAAGTGCTGGGGGAAGGGGCTCTCTCCCCGCTGCTTCCGCAAGTTACTGGCAAGATTCCGGGCTTGCGAATCCAACCTTTCCTGGCTTTTGAACGAGATGTGCAGGTCTACCCAAGGTGGGAGGCTGCCAAGTTCTGCTGCATAGGAAGACGTGGTGTCCAGCCAAGGGCTGGGAAAGGGGAAGGAGCCCCAGAAGCCACATCTGCTCCACTCTGCTTGGAATCCTTGGTGCTTAAGAAAGGAGGGAGCATGCCAGAGCCGCAGCGTCGCCGAGACCAGGAAGGTTCTGTCCTGAGGGGCAATCATGTGAAACCCACACGTCCAGAGATGGGATCCTGTGGAAGCCTGCATTGTGATGGCAAGGGCTGCTGGGGCTGTCCTCGGGTCCTGTCCCTCTGAGCAGGTGGCCATTCACTTAGGGGAATCAGCCTGAGCCCCAGCAAATGTTGGCTATGTGCAGGGCACCGGTGGTCAAGTTGGGGGGGGCAGACTGCCAAGTAGTCCGATGAAGGTGATCTATCCCAGAACCAGCCGTAGTGGGGAGTTCTTAAAAGTTTTCCCGGGCTCTGGGTTCTCCCAGTTCCTCTGGGTTCTCCCAGTTCCTGAAGCCTGGTGGGGTGTGCCCATGCCCGGTCAGTTCTGTCCTGGTAAGTTTTCACAAAGCTGATCACCTATACGTGAGTTTAAAATGACTGCTTTTCTCCTGGCTGCCCCTGCTGGAAATGATGGGAGAAAACTTTCCCAAAGGTAGTGAGTTCCCGGGCAGTGGAGGTATTCAAGCAGAATCAGGGCACCACAGCAAACTGTCCGGCAATGGCAAAGGTGCAGGGAGGGCTTATGATTTTATGATCATACAAGTCTATCTGCTAGGAACTGGCATAGCCGATGTAAAACTCTGTACATGTACAAGCTCTAGATGTCTTTTCCTAAAGGTAACTGGAACACGAGCCCAGGATTGTATTTGTAGAAGCACAGCCAGAACCCACCACACGTCTGGAGTCCTGGCCTCTAAGGGCTGGGGGCAGGGGTGGGAGGTCAGGCCACAGCCCCACTTATTTTTGGAAACTGGGACTCTTCACTAGTCCAATTTTGGTGGCGATCCCAAAAGGGTCCATGCTGTCTGTTTCCAGGGATGCAGAAAACCCGTCAGACTCCACATGGTCTTCCAGGTCCCTGGGCTCTGTTGGGCTCCCGGGCAAGATAGGTAAGAAGTGGGACAGGGGCAAAAAGCCCCTGCCCTTGTAGAGCTGCCTCTGTTTGGCACTACTCAGAGAGATGGGGAGATGGTGCTTCTTGGACCAGTACACATTGTAGCCATCGGGACGGATCTCCTCCTCGAAAGTACAGTCTCCAGCGGAGTACTGAGGCTGTGGAGAAAACAGGCAACCATGAGCACCAGTGGGAGCCCCCTGGTGCTCCAGAAGCAGCAGAGAAAACGGCACGGTGAGCATTTGTGCTACATGTTGCCACTTGGGTCCACATGGTGAGCCGTGTTTATCTGTGTATATAGTTACACATAACATAACGTACGTGTTTATATATGTAAATGTGTACTTCTATAAAGTAGGCATTACATTATATTAATAAACACATTGTGCATATACTAATATAGAAATGTAATAAATTGGGCAGCCCGGGTGGCTCAGCGGTTTAGTGCTGCCTGCAGCCCAAGGTGTAATCCTGAAGACCAGGGATCGAGTCCCATGTCCGGCTCCCTGCATGGAGCCTGCTTCTCCCTCTGCCTGTGTCTCTGCCTCTCTCTCTCTCTCATGAATAAATAAAATCTTAAAAAAAAGAAATGTAATAAATTATAACATTAAAATCACATACCACATTATATATACTTTGTAAGTATAAATTTATACATATTAATAGGTGTTTTATATGCCTTCATATACACACATACTTCAGGTGCATATTTCATGTGTGTACTCAGTATCTGTATATACTTTTCATGGATCTTTTAGATCTCTCACTAAATCATGTCACTTCTTAAACTTAGCCTTGTTCTGAGCAATATGCATCAAATCAGAGGTGCAACATGGGTGCCTCTGTCCCTCACCCTTTAGAGCAAACATAGAACTATTGACATGAAAATGTCCCTGGGGTCCACTGACACTTTGGGAGACACCGCTACACTGGGTATGCTCTCCTAATCTGATCTAGGGCCCAGACTAGCGCATTGATTCCCCATCTAGACCTAAGTAACAGTGGGCCATTCTGAGGCCTTTCTGTCTGGTGTCCTTGCAGGAAACCTCAGCCCCCTTGTGAGGGGTGAGAGCTCCTTCCTTCCAAGGCCCAGAGCCTTCCAGGCAGCCGGCCAGGATTATCAAGATAAAGGCAGCCCCCTCCCCCCAGACCCAGAACAGAGCCTGCACCCAGCGGGGTGGCGGGAAATGCAAGCCTACGGGATGAAAGCAGCTCCTGGGGTCCCAGAACACTGGTAGCAAAGAGGTACCAGTGGGCCAAGTCCTGTACCAAACTGGAGAAGGTCATTACCCTGGGGAAGGTGGGGACACAGAGGGCAGCCTAAGGCTGAGAGCCAGGAGGGCTGGGCAGTAAACAACCCGGTGAGGCACCCAGTCCCGTTTGTGCCCGAGCCTACAAAGGTCGCTGAACTGCAGGTGGGTGAGCGCTGTGCTGATAAGGCACTGATAAGGCTCAAGTCTAATGAGGCAACAACATACCCAGCTCCCGCACTGGGATAGAGCCACCAGACAGCGACGGGAAATGCAAATTGATAAATAAACAAGAGAATTAAAATTAAAAGCAAATGGTGGTACTATTTTACTCTGCTGGTTCTTTGGGAGAAACTAGCACCCATGCTCTTCTCTAAACATAAAAGGAAATGATTTCGAATTGCTTGGAGAAAGTGGAATTTGTTTAAAAAAAACAACAACAACAAAACAACCTCCGTTTTGGTTAAGCCATGCCCACGGGATCAAGAGACAGAACAGGATTTTGGGGGAAGCAACCTTCCCCCCCCCCCAAGTTTGGACTAGATTGGTCGGTTAGACCCCTCTGCGCCAGCTCGACCTCCAGCATTTCCTCTGCCCATCCTCACCCCGCCCCCCTCCCCATCCCAAGTAAACGTCCCGATAACAAAAGTTGCCACTGCGGGTTTGGAGAGTGGCTTTGGGTGTCAGCTTTCAGCGAGCTGACCACCTCCTTTCTTTCCCTCCGTTCTGGTCCTTTCACGCAGGACTCTGCCATAAAACCTCAAACAGTCACTCTGGATAAATGGAATAAACCGGCCCCAGAGCCACAAAACAACTGGGACACACACACACAAAAAGACTGGCGCAGCCGGGAGGCCCGGCGTCTGCATCTTTCCTGGGGGCGGGGCCATCCCCGGAGGCGCGGTCTCCCCCCCTCGCCCCGCTCCGGCAGCCGCGCCCTCCGCCCAGCGGGGCTGCATTGAGGCCCTGCGCCCGGCCGGGACCTCACACAGCCTCCTCTGTGCGCCCGGGGGCGCGGGCGGGGCGCGGGCTCCCTTTGAACTCCCAGTCTTTGTTCCCGGAGACCGAGACCCAGCTTCCGCACACTTCCTGCCCCGAGACCTCGAGGGTCACCTGGGCCTTCCCGTCCCGTTTCCCCGCAGCACCCTCCCCCAAAAGCATCTGCGGCACAGGTGAGCGCTCCACGAGGGCAAACAAGCCCCTGGAATATTCTCCCAACGCGTCAGCAAACACCACACTGCTTTTCTAGTAGATAAAAATTAATGGAGAGGAAAAAAAAAAAAAAATCACACACACCCCCTCCCCCCTCCCCAAATGTAATTTTTTCTGACTTATTGGAAGGTTGGTTCAAAAAAAAAAAAAAAGTCCAAGTCGTGACTATACTTTCTCATGCCTTCCTTTTCTACCGCGGGGAGGGAACCGGCGGCGAGGACCACACACGCGCAGGCCGAGATTGAAATGGCCCGAGGTGGGTTTCACTGTTTCTTGTCAAAGAAAGCCGAGGACAGCGTCTCCTCTGTCCCCCTGGGCCGGCCTTCGGCTCAATAGGAAATGCAAAGGCAGCTCTCACCCTTTCTCTGGCCACCAGCCGTAAACTTGCGTAGAAACCAGCCCCCCCCCCCCACACACACACTTCAGCTTCATCTGTCCCCTTGCGGTCTTCCCTCCCGAGCTCCCCGCCTGGGCTCGATCCAGCGCGCCCCCCTCCCCTGCGGGGCCCCGCCCGGGGGCAGGCGGAGGTCCCCCCGGCGGAGACACCTACCAGCCCTTGCATCCTGCCGTCGGCGCCCATGCAGAGGTACCGGACGCTGTGCACGCCCTTGATGGCCACGGTCCGCAGAGCGACTGCCCTCATCTCCATCAGACCTGGGGTCGAGGGGAGCAGAAAGAAGGCTGCAGCCGGGACCCGCGGGGCCCACAGCACGTGGATGCGGTGCGTGCACAGGCCCGTGCCCTCCCCCACCCCACCCCTCATGCATTCTGGGACCCTGGGGAGGGAATGGGACGCCCAGGTGCCAAGATCTGGGGTTCCCGGGAGTCGGGGGTCCGCGGGAACCGGAGGGAACAAGCGAAGACTAACGCGTGGGTGCGGTGGGTCCACGTGCGGGCGCCCCCCCCCCTCAGCTCCCCGCGCTGTCAGGGGCTCGGGGCAGGGAGCAGACGCGGAGGTGCCGACGTGGGGTTCCCGAAGGTGAAGGGAAGGGGCACCGGGGCGAGTGGGCACTCACTGTGCGCGCTCTGGCCCCGCGCGCAGTCCACCCCGCCGTCGGCGCGGATGCGCAGGAAGCAGCTGGAGAGGCCGTGGGGGCCGGCGGTGTACAGGTGCCGCAGGCGGACGGGCTCCCCCCAGCCGTAGTGCACGTGCGGCCCCGCGTCGGAGAAGGCTAGGGGGCGCCCGGCTGCGGCCAGCCAGAGGCCGGCTAGGACCAGGGCGCGGGCCACCGCGCACCGGCTCTGCGCGCGCCGCATGGCACCTCTCTCGGGCTCGGGACGCGGTTCTGGCGGCGAGGGTGCGGGAGGCTGGGCGGGAGGCTGGGCGGCAGCAGGGCCGTGCGTGCCGAGGCGGGGTGCGTCCCTCGGGCCGGCGGTGCGCTCCGGGCGCCCGGGCGCTCAGCGCTCCTGCTCCGACGGCGCGGAGGCTCGAAGCCGGCGGCCTTATATAGCGCGTCTCACCCGCCCGGCGGGTGGGTGCCCGCGACACCCGAGCATTTCTTATCAGGATTGCATCAGCCCTCCGCCCCCCGCACACACCCACTCACACCCCGCCTCCTGCCCCAGCCCCTCCCCGGACCCCGCCCGGGTGACCCCGCCCAGGCCTCCCGGATCTGGGGGAGGAGGAGGCCCCGTTTCACCGGAGGGTTCGGGGGGGGGGCCCTCCCCGCCGCGCAGTGGTGGGGCCGGGGGCCCGGTCTCTCTCAGCTGGGAGAGTTCGATTTTATAAAGCAATAAAGGAGACAGCCCGTCCCCGCCCCCTCGCCTCCGGCTCCCCCAGGGAATGCGCTCCCCGCGGGGCGCTAGCAGGAGCGGGGAGCAGGCACCCCGTGACCAGAGACTGAGGCACCGACCTTTGCATCCCTCGCCCCCTGTCCGGAGAAGCGTCGCCTCGGCTTCGGGGCGCTCTCCCCTTAAAAGCCCACATCCACTCCCTCCCACGACGGTCCCAACCGTCATATCTCCAGATGTAAAGCCGTCCATTAGAATTTCCCCCTGCCGCTCGGACTAGCTCACGTCGTCCTGGTCTTATGGTCTCGCGATCCCGGCCCCCCTCCCGCCCCCTTTACCCCAGTAAATTGCCCCCCGACGGGGGGCCGGGCTCCAGTCCCGGGACGAACAATGGGGAAGTGGCGCGCGGCGAGCGCTAGATGGCGCTTCGGCCCCGGCTTCGGCCTCTGCGCAGGGCCCGCGGCCCCGGAGCTGGAGCTTGGCGGGGCGGGGGTCCGGACGGCGCGGCTCGCGGGCGCGGGGACGGCTTGGCCGCGGCGGACGGGGACTCTCGGACTTCCCAGCTCGGGCCAGGCGCGGCGCGGCGCGGCGAGGCTTATGTGTGGGTGCCTTTTGTCGTTGGTCTGGTCCTCGGGTCTCTGAGTCCTCCCGGGGCCAGGACGCGCCCCCCCGCCCCGCCCCCGTGTCTTGGGGGGATTGGGGGAGGAGAGGTCGGGGAGGGACAGAGCAGCAGTGAGGGGCGCTGCTGAGCTGGGGGTAGGCACCAGGCCGGAGATTGGGGCTACTTGGTGAAGTGGCACCTGCAAACCAGACTTTCTCCAAGGATGCTCAGAAAAGGGAAAAAGCATCCAGAGAATGCCCTGGCTGGCCGGAGAGGGTCCTCCTGGGGACCCTGGGCTCAACACTGATTCTTTCTCATTTCTTCTCCAGACCTCACCCCGACCCCCCAAATCCTGGGTGTGGAGCCCCGGCAGGCCAGTTTTGGGGGAAAGCCATGCTGTCTCAGCGCAAAGGCAATGGGCGGGCAAGCAGTGGAGAGCGGGGAGAGAAATCAGGGCCAGACCTAATGAATTTCAATGAGTAAAGGCCATGTTCATACCCAGTCAGTGACTGGCGTTAATGACGGAGCGTGCAGAAAATGTCACCAGGAAAGGCTTTACAAAAAGACATCATCTCAAAGGCTTTATAGACCAGGACCCCCACGCTGCGTGTCTTGGTTCAGAAAGCCACGGCTTCTGTTAAATCTAATTACTTCCCCCCTGTGGCTTTAAATCGACAGCGGCTCCTATTAAACTTAATTACCCTCCCCTGCAGCTTTCGTTTTAAAGATCCTGGATAAATGTGGGGCACTGAGGAGGATGGCAGAGGCTGCAATGGGGGCCGCACCCAGAATCGGTCTGGGGGCAGGGAACACCAGCCTCTGGCCCCACCCTTGCTCTTTTGCTGCCCTTCCCATGGACACAGTGGAAGGACAGTACCCACTGTGATCTCGGAGCTCAGGAAGGTGGTAAAGGCAGCAGCTTCCTATGCCCTGGCCCTGTTCTAAACACATTATGGGTGTCCTCGGCTTTAACCCCTATAAGAACCTCCACAGTATTCTATCCCCACCTCTTTGTATAGCTAGGAGAGGAGGGCCCCAGAAAAGTGGCACCCAGCCTTCAAGTAGTGGACCTGGAATTGGAACCCAGGCCATCAAGCTTGTAAATCCAGGCCATGCCTCCTCTCTGAGAGGTGCTGTGGCCTCCAGGCAGGGACTCGGGCTTTAGGATCGGATTCTCTCCACCACAAATCCTCGCCTGGGCTCTCCCTGGGCAGGTCATGGACCTGCTGGGCCTGTTGTCTCCTCATGCTTGCTTTGAGCCTTGTCCTGGGGTCACATGGGAGAGTGGACCTAAGGTACCAGATATGGTTCATGAAGAGTGACGGCCACCCACTAAGAGTTGATGGGGTACTAGCATTACATAATCACAGGGTGCTCTGAAAGTTTGGGTGATTAATTCATGCTATCAGGAAACTAAGGTGTGCAGAGTTGTCCAGACAGGCAGCAAGTGTGTGCTCCCGGCTGGGCTGAGCTAGGGGCCCTGGGCAGGTGGGCTGGTCCCCCTGGTGTGCTCCTTGGAGGAAGACAGGAGGAGCAGGGGAAAGGCGGTCCTGGCCAGCAGGGGGCGCTGCGGTTAGCACTCTAGGTGAGAGCTGCTCAGGAGGACGAGGAACCCAATAAGGCTCCCAGCCCGGCAGCCACCAGTATGCTGGGATGGGATGATCTGGATTTTTCTGGTTTCTGAACCCGGTGACCTGCCCCGGTGAGATTTCATTCACTGAGTGGAGGGCAACTGGAGCAAGAGTCCAGGTCACCCTCGCTGCCCCGCTCAGCCCACCCAGGGCCCAAGGGCTCTCAGGCAATGGTGACCAGAAGTGCCTTGCTTGACAGCTTCCTTCTGGGTTCGACGTTAGCTGGGATCTTTTGTGTTTTGTATTGTTTTTTTAAGATTTTATTTTTTCATTTGAGAGAGAGAGTACAGGGAGGGGAAGAAGCAGACTCCTCGCTGAGCAGGGAGCCAGACATGGGGCTCAATCCCAGGACCCCAGGATGATGACCTGAGGCAGACGCATAACCGCATAACCGACTGAACCACCCAGGTGCCCCCAGCTGGGATCTTTTGAACTGTCCTAAACCCTTATCCTGGGGCCACCCTCTCTCAACCCAAGCTTGTCTGAATTGTTCTTGATGGTGGCAAATGAAAGATTTTCATTGTTTCTAAATGCACATCCCAACAGCTAAGAAAATCTTGTTCCGGTTCGCTTCCAGTCTTTGCATTATGAAAACAGTTGTTTTTCTTTTCACTTTATGGCTAGAAATTTACGTTACAATGTACTTTATGCTTAAGTACATAAGCACCTCCTCACGCCCATCCCAAATCCCCTGCCCCCGCCCCACAGTTGAGCAGTTCCTTGTAATTACAGAAACTTCTCGGTGGTGGCAAAAATCTTCATCAAAAAGTAAGAAGTGCCAAAACAGGCCTGTGACAGAAAGGACTATGAATACTTGGGTTAAGGGAAGCCACTGGTTCCTGGCAGAACCAAGAATGGAACTCAGGGACACTGAATCAGTCCAATACGTTTGCTAGAATCTGCTAGAACATGCATCATTTCCCCCAAAGCATTCGGTGTCATCAAAACCCATTTTTCCCCTACTAGGATCATTATTCTAAAAATAAAAGACACGGCACCCCACTAGCCCAGAAATGGGCAGAGGCCATATCAGAGGGGAAAAAGGAAGACTTCTCTGAGCCCCTTTATTTGTAAAATAGCAAAAGGATTGCTTTTAACCTCCAAATGAGTTAATGTGAGAATTAGCAAAGATACCTCCATCAATGGAGAGATAAATACTCGTATAGAGACCGCCTGGCATACGTGGGTGCATAACAGAAGGGGTAGCTATTGTTATTTATGTAAAGGCTACTCTCGCTATCTTTGCATTTTAAAATAACGGCAACCCTAGAAAAAGACAAATCTGGTCTATAGTGACAAAAATCTCATCAGTAGTTGCCTGAGGCAGGAGACAGGCGTGGGGATTACCAGAAAGGAGCCAGAGGAAGCTTTCTGGGATGATGGGAATGTCCTTTTTCTCAATTGAGGTGATGAGTAACAGGCAATGACATTTGTCAAAACTCATTGAATGGTGCCCTTAAAATTAGGGTGCATTTTAAGTTGTGACTCAATGAAGTGGAGTTTGAACATTTTCTTTCTTTCTTTCTTTTTTTTAAAGATTTTATTTATTTATTCACAAGACACAGAGAGAGAGAGGCAGAGACATAGGCAGAGGGAGAAGCAGGCTCCCTACGGGGAACCCTATGTGGGACTCGATCCCAGGGCCTCGGGATCATGAGCCTAAGGCAGACACTCAATCACTGAGCTACCCAGGCACCTTGAGTTTGAACGTTTTCATTGCAAAAGTGGTACTTGTTTGTGGTTGAAAATTTGGAAACTACAGAAAATCGCAATGCGGGCAAGTTTAAAACCTGGAATATTATGACTGCATTGTGAGCTACTATTTCTATTTGGGTAAATTTCTTCCTCAGACTTTTAAAAAATACATATGTATCTTAAAAAAAAAAAAACACAGCATTTGAATTGTATTTTCCTTTCTCTCACTTACCGTGAACATCTCCCAGGACATTAAACCCCTTTTACAGCCCCCCTTGGATCCCAACAGATCTGAGTGGGCTACTGTGAGGGTCTGGTCTGTTCCCCAGGGCTGGACATTTAGGTTGTTTCCAGTCTCCTCTCCCACATCACGTAGGGGAGGAAATCCTGGAGACACATCTCACAACTATCCACTTTCAGAAGGGGGATTACCAGGCCCTGTGGTCTCTCTTCCCAGGTAGGTCCCAGTCCAGGTACAAACACTGGATTTTTTTTTTAAAGATTTTATTTATGGGATCCCTGGGTGGCGCAGCGGTTTGGCGCCTGCCTTTGGCCCAGGGCGCGATCCTGGAGACCCGGGATCAAATCCCACGTCGGGC